CCACCAGTTTCCAGCTGTATGTGACTCTTAAATGCAGTGTTTAAAGAACTAGCAGAACTTAAAGGAGTTGTGATTTTTAGTTCAGTTATTTTGCTCCACTAAGTCCTCACTTGTTCTTGTAACACATCTTGGAAGCTTTTATTAGAACCCATTAAGCTTCTGAGTCTTGTCTCCATGTCATATTAGTAGTATCCCTTAGTTGGGGCAGTGGTGGCTCACACCTGTAATCACAGCTACTCAGGAGGCTGCGACCTTGAGGCTCGAGGTTCAAAGCCAACCCTGGGCAGGAAAGTACATGAGACTCTTACCTCTAATTAACCATCAGGAGAGCCCAAAGTGAAGCTATGGCTCAAGTAGCTGAGCACTAGCCGAAGAGCTCAGGGACAGCCTGGATGAAAAGACTGAGTCTGAGAGACTACATTTCCAAAATAACCAGCAGAAAGCCAGATGGAAGTGCAGCCCAAATCCTAAAATGCTGGAGAGTGAGCACAAATGCTTGAGTTCAGGCAAATACCAAAGGAGACACGTGTTGCTTCTCTCAAATCTCTCCCATCTTGGGCATAAATGACCTGGGCTCCCTACTCATATTGTGATACATTGGGTTCTTCTTACCTGCTCTGTGGATTCCTGAGGCCTAGAATAGAACGTGAGGAGTGGCCAGCACACTGGCCACTGTTGATCTTTTAGGCCAGGCATCAGAGACCTGGTAGTGCCTTTGGGATGTATTGATGGAGCCTTGTCTTACTGATTTCATTCTAGCTACTGGCTTGTTCTTGAGCCTGTTAGAGAATCAACAGAAAAAGGGGACTGCCGGGTGCTGGTGGCTCACACCTGTAATCCTACCTACTCAGGAGGCTGAGATCTGAGGATCGCGGTTCAAAGCCAGTCCGGGCAGGAAAGACTGTGAGACTCCTATCTCCATTAAACTACCAGAAAACCGGAAGTGGCGCTACAAAAAAAAAAAAAAGAAAAAAGAAAAAGGGGACTAACTTGCTGACTCACACCTAGCAACTCAGGAGGTTGAGATTCCAGCCTAGGCACTGTCCCTGAGATTTTTTTTTTGCTCAAGACTAACATTCAACTACTTGAGCCACAGCTCCACTTCTGGCTTTGAACTTTGCTCCTAAGACCCCCAAGCAGCTAAGATTACAGGTGTGAGCCATTAGTGCCTTACCATCCTTGCACTGTCAACTGTCGGCTAATTTAGGGTTTATTTCTAGGATGTCTATTCTGTTCCATTGTTTTTATGTCACTATTGTGCGGATGCTTTGAGCCATATTTAAAAAAAATTTTTTTTTTTGTTTTTGGGTCCGGTCGTGGGGCCTGAACTCTGGGCCTGGGCGCTGTCCCTCAGCTCTTCAGCTCAAGGCTAGGGCTCTACCACTTTAAGCCACAGCGCCACTTCCGGCTTTTTTCTTTTTGCTGATGTGGTGCTGAGGAATCGAACCCAGGGCCTCGAGCATGCAAGGCAAGCGCTCTACCACTGAGCCACCTTCCCAGCCCCTTGAGCCATATTTTAAAGATAATCAGTGTATTGCTTCCTACCTTTGCTCTTTCTGCTTAAAATTCCTTTGGGAAGGTGGGTGACTCCTGCTCGTAGTCTTAGCCAATGGGAAAGCTGAGTTCTGATGATTGCAGTTCTAACGTGTGTTAGAAGTTTTGTGGGACTCTAAATACCTATTAACTAGCAAAAAGGTACAAGTGGAGCTGTGGCTCAAGTGTACAGCCTGGAGCGAAAAATCCAACTAAGATCTGAGTTCAAGTCCCAGTACTGACACATACATGTATACACATACTAAACAAAGGTGATGAAAAAAATGCGATCTGCTACACAGGTTTGGGGGGTTAAATGTTTATTAAACCAGACATTTAAATTCTATATCCACCTGCAGACTGTAAACAAATACAGTATATGTGTAAAGTAAAGATGGACAAATTAGTGGAAAACCTAAAATGCCCTTTAAACACCAGAACCTCACCACACCCTCCTTAGGCCGATGCCAAGGACTCTGTCACAAAGTTAAATGAAAAACCATTCAGTTAGCTCTGCTCCATCTCCTAGAGTGGATTTCAACACCTGGATTTGTTTATTTGTTTCACACTGCAGTAGGCTGCATTTCAGCAAGGCAACAACGTAAGTTTTTGTTTCTGTGGTACTAGGGATGAGACCCAGGTTTTAGACATTCTTAGCAAGTGCTTATCACAGAGATACAATCCCAGACTTGGTTTTTAGAGACAGGGTCTTATTGTGCAGCTGGGGATGGCCTTAAACTCCATCTCAATTGCTGGGATTGCAGGTGCACACAACGATGTCCGGCAAAAATATAGTTTTTATATTCAGAGATTAGCTGAACGAGTACAAATTAAGTTTCTAATGTAGGTCTCTCCCTCCCATTACCATAATTAACAAGAAACATGCGTTAGAAATAAATGACAGACCACAGGTAGTTACAAAAATAGATTACTTATAGGATAATAAATATCTATAGTTAAACTGATCACAAAACTTATTAAATTTACTTTTTCCCATAATGTGAAGATTATTTAAGTACATTCAAGAGAGACAGGGGGGGATGGGCTGGGAGAGTTGCTGGCAAAAGGAAAAGTACAAAATCCACAGCAGGAAACTGATGCAAATGAGAATATGCAAAACACAAAACTCCTCATGATCCTACGTAGACACCAAAGTTAGCTTTCAGCCCTTTTTATATCTTAAAAAGTAACTCTGTGTTACCCATGTAAAAACATGTAAAAAGATTTATCCAGAGACAAGAAGTTGGTGGATGAACAGCCTTATTAAAACAGCTAAAATCTGGAGGATCTAGTGAGATTTTATATATTTCTGACATACAGGACTTTCAAAGAACCCCATAGAGTTTGGATGGTTTTTTAAATTCCCATACCAAGCCATTGTATAAGAATTTCAGTTTTACAAGTGGGGAAGACTTTAAAAATTGAAAAATTCTGAACTGAGATAGGGGAGGGAGAAAGCTAAAAAGACCTGCCAAACACGGCAGAGTGCGTGAATATGTAAGCAACACTGCTGGAGAAGGCTGTGTGAGGTCAGGCGGAGGGCTGGGCCCAACCCCACCTCACCTGAAACCCAGCCAGGGATCCCCTCCTGACTCTGGAATGGGAATGTGCGTTTTCAGTGGGTGACAGTGTCACCAGTAAGCTTCCTCAGCCCTCATGGCAGAGCGGGTCAGGAAGAGCTCAGAAGTCATGATACTCCAGATTCTTATTCACCCAAGCTTCCTGCAGGCACTGAAGGTTACCTCCTCCTCCATCTAGCCTGGAAACTTCATTTCCTTGCCAAAAATCTTCTCCCTGGTCTAAGACGTCCACGTTCCACTGACACAGTGACCATGGGGTACAATTTCGGGAAGGGGAAGAGGCTTTCCCAAAGCCACCTGACATTTCCAGGATGCGCCTGGAATGGCCACTAGACTGACCCCAGGACCCTTGTTTCCCATGAAACACGGTTGGGGGAAGGCTACTACAAAACTGAAGTTTTGATATTTTTTACACCAGTACTGAGATTTGAAGTCAGGTCCTTCAGTTCTCACTTGCCTATTCTGCTCTAGGCTGCTGTTCTACCCCTTGAGCCACACATCACTTACAGCATTTGCTGGCTAATTAGAGATAAGAGTCTCTCCAGTTTGTTTGCCTTGGCTGGCCTTGAAGGGTGACCCACAGATTGTCAGGCATGATCACCTAGTTTACAGGCATGGGCCACTGGTACCCATGTCTAAAATCTACTTTTTTCTTTTACTTTTTTTTGTCATGGGGCTTGAATTCTGGGCCCAGGCACTGTCCCTCAGCTCATCAGCTCAAGGTTAAGACTCTACCACTTGAGCCACAGGGCCAATTCAGGTTTTCTGGTGGTTTATTTGAGATAAGCATAACACTGCTGGCTTTGAACTGCGATCCTCAGATCTCAGCCTCCTGAATAGCTAGGATTGTAGGCATGAGCCATCGGCACCTGGCTAAAATCAACTTAATGAAGCAAACATAGTGGTTCTCAAGTCAGAGCAAGCAAGGGAAACACACGGAAGGCAGTTGTCAACCCAGAGGCCACTGCAGGGGCCTGGGAGAGGGCTGGCCTGGGAATCAGCACTCCAAGACAACACTGATGCTGCTGGTTCAAGCCCACTTGGAGTGGTGGCTATGAAGACCCTCACCCACACAAAGCCCAGGGCTTTTCTACAAGCAATTCACTGGAGGTCACACAGCCCAGTGATATCTTGGTGGTCTCATGCCTTGGCAGGGTGGAGGACACAGTGCCCAGCTCCTGGTCCAGTCCAGGTGAGCACTGTCCCTTCTGAGAGACACCAGCAGACAAGTCCAACCTCACACAGCACAGGAAAGGGTCTGCCCCCAGGGAACTTGTTGGCCAGGACAGGAGAATCCCAGGTGAGCTTCCTGTGCTCTGCTGTTGCTGGGTCTGGACAAAAGCACACCCTGAAGACAAAGAGCCTAAAATGCAGGAGACTTCAGTGAGAGGAAACTACCCATGGGGATTATCTTGTTAAAAATATCTACTTGTTAAAAAAAAGATCAGCCCACAATCAAGTCGTTTTGCTGCCCTTGAGATAGTGTTTACAAGTTCAGCGTGGTGACTTTGTCCTCAGCATACATACCATCTTGAGGCTGGTCAGGTTTATCAACAGAAGGATGACAAGAAATAAACCCCCCATTCAAACGCACACAAGTCACACCTAAACCTTTCAGCTGACAAGGCTGCGATCTTACAGGTTACACAGCAGGAAGAGTTCAAATACCATCACTGAAAAGGATATCTCATGTTCATAGAAAGATCCACAGAAGGACAAGGAGCACACACATGTCCACATGTCCACACGTGTGTGCGGCAGTTGTCAATGGACTGCCTGTCACGATTCAAGAACACCCTGGAACTCTTCATCCGGATCGGCGATGGGAGCACAGCAAGCCAACACTGCCCTGTTGCCAAGTCCTGGTCTCCACACAAAGCCAAGATTGGAGAGGCAGAAGGCTGCCCGTCTGCAGCACAGCTCACTTCAGATGTGTTCTGGATGGCTCTGGAGACAGGCCAGCATCTCTGCCACGGGTCTGCCTTCATAGCAGATCTGATACACGGCAGTGAACAGCGGAAACCTGGGTGGAAGGAAGAGAGGGTGGCAAGGTTGGTGATCTGCTTCACCTCCTAGAGCATATTTATCCTCTGCCCCTCCCCCCAGCAGGCTGCTCTGGACAATAGTGACCAGCCTATATGTCTTCACAGTCGCAGAACACAGAGACTCTGTAAGATACAGGGGTAAACCAGGCACCTGTGGCTCATGCTTGTGATTCCCAACTACTCAGGAGGCTGACCTGTAAGGATCACAGTTCAAAGCCAACGTAGGCAGGAAAATCCATGAGACTCTGACCTCCAATTAAAAAAAAAAAAAGCCAGAAGTAGAGGCATGGCTCAGTTGGTAGGGTGGCAGTCTTGGGCAAAAACATCAAGCAAGTATGTGAGGCCCTGAGTTTAAACTCTAGTTCTGGTATGGGCATGTGCACACCCACATACCCAGACACACGGGTAAGCAAGGCACAGGATTGTCCTTCAGGGTAAATGGCAGCCATGCTCAGAAAAGATCTGTGGCTCTGGATCTTGGCTGATTCTGGATGAGACCAAGGTCCTGTCACTGTTTGAAAAGGCCAGAGAATTTTAAATTCTCCCCAAAGAGCACTAGAGTCATCCCACACCTGGCCAGAAACACTTCATGCCTGCAAGAAGTGGGGACCACCTTAGCAAAGTCCCCATCTCCCTTCCATGGAGGAAGCTTCGTTTATTTTACTTTTCCTCTGAGATGTGAGCACACACAGTGAAAGCGTGAAATGGACACAGGGGAAGCAGGAGAGGACTGGAGGCCACTGGGAGGAAAGATATCATCATCAGGGTGCAGCTGCCCCAGCCCGTTTCCTCTGTGCATGTATGTGTAAGTACATGGATGTGCACCTGCCCTGTTGTTTGTGTTGCTCGCCTAGCTACAGTCACTTTTTAAAAACGAGAGACAGAGAAAGAGAGAACACAAAGTAAGCTTGACAGAATCAATACAGCCTTAAAGGTTATTCTGAGAATCACTTGGGTAAGCTCCAATAAAGACAATTTTGAGAGAGAAACACAGAAACAGCTGGATGCTGGTGGCTTACACTGGTAATCCTAGCTACTCAGGAGGTCTTTTTTAATTTTTGTACCAGTCCTGCATGTTTAACTCAGGGGCTAAGTGTTGTCCCTGAGTTTCTTTTTTCTTTTCTTTCTTTTTTTTTTTTTTCCTAAAGGCTAGCTCTCTACCATTTGAGCCATAGCTCCACTTCTAGCTTTTTGGTGGTGAATTGGAGACAAGAGTCTCAGGGACTTTCTTGCCCAGGCTGGCTTCCACTGTGATCCTGAGATCTCAGCCTCCTTGGCAGTTAGGATTACTGGTACCTGGCTCAAAAGTGAAGACCTTTCAGTCCTAGCCAGTCTCTGAGGTGGAAATAACATCTTCTTCATTCAATAGAGGTGGGACCCAAAGCCCGCTCTGACTCAGAGCCACTAAGCCATGTTTCCATCCAAATGTCATTTCCTACAACACAGAACCTGCAAGGCCAATGAGTCTGGCCAAGGAAACTCTGAAGTCAAGGTGAGAAGAGAACAAAAGGCAGCACACACACCTCACAGAAAAGATCTGACACAGCCCAATCCATCTGCCAGCCCACTATGGACATTTTGGCCTTCCTGGAACCCGGGGTTCAGGGGTGATAGAGGCTGTGTGGTGAGGGGCAGGGCCTAGCCCTTAAGGACATTACCACACACAGGTCAGTTAAGGGATGACTTGGGCCCCTCTTGTTCATGTGCCCGAGTCTTCCTCACAGTATAGCTGAGTATGTAGACAGGACCTTTAAAGATGACCTAAGCCAGGCACTAGTGACTCATGCATTTTAATCCTAGCTTCACAGGTGGTGATTTCAGATCAAAGCCAGCCCAGGAGATTTTAGCTCCAATTAATCACCAAAAAGTTGGAATTGCAGCTGTGGCTCCAGTGGTAGAATGGTAGCCTTGACCAACAAAAATTAAAAAGGGGGCTGGGGAAGGTGGCTCAGTGGAAGAGTGCTTGCCTTGCGTGCATGAGGCCCAGGGTTTGATTCCTCAGTACCACATAAGCAAAAAGAAAAAAGCCGGAAGTGGCGCTGTAGCTCAAGTGGTTGAGCACTAGCCTTGAGCTGAAGAGCTGAGGGACAGCACCCAGGCCTAGAGTTCAGGTCCCACGACTGGACCCCAAAAAATGAATAAATAAATAAAAAGGATAATACTCAGGCCCTGAGTTCAAGCTCCGGGATCAGTATGTGCCATGTGCACACATACCCCCAACTCAACAATGCCCTATATCAAAATGAAGTCATTTTCTGGGCCCTAATTCAACCTGACTGGCAATCTTCTAGACGGAGGACTTCAGGACACAGACATGAAGACATGTGATGGATGACCTCTGAACCAGGCAGTGCTGCTCACACCTGTAATCCTAGCTAATTAGGAGACAGATTGGAGGTTCACAGTTCAAAGTACGTTCCAGAGTGAGCAGAAAAGACTTGCCAGACTCTTATTTCCAATTGCTCAGCAAAAAAGTGGGAAGTGAAGCTGTGGTTCAAAAAGTAGAGAACTAGACTTGAGCATAACTTCAGAAGGAAAGAGCCCAGGACACCCCCCATCCCTCCTCCCCCAAGATAATCTCCACCAACCAAGGAGAAGGCCTCCAAGGAAACCAACGAACCAACCCTCCCTCAATTGGAGACCTTGAACTAAGAACCTCCTCCACTGTGAGCCACCCTGAGTACTTCACTATGACAGCACGAACCAAGCAGTACAATTGTCTCACCCTTAGCGTTCTCACAAAGATGTAAGTACAAGGAGAGCTAAGCTAGTGGGGTTTTTTTTGTTTTTTTTTTTCGGTCATGGGGGCCTGGGTGCTGTCCCTCAGCTCTTCAGCTCAAGGCTAACACTCTACCATTTGAGCCACAGATCACTTCTGGTTTTCTGGTGGTTTATTGGAGATAAGAGTCTCACAGAGTTTCCTGCCTGAGCTGGTTTTGAACCATGATCCTCAGATCTCAGCCTCCTGAGTAGCTAGGATTATAGGTGTCAGCCACCAGCACCTGGCATGAATTTTATATTAGCAGAAAACTGCAAATAATTTTACTGTCTACCAAAAGAAGATGGGTTAAATAAACTACATATTTTCTGTGAGGTTCTTTCTAGAATGAGCCTGACCCCAGGTCTAAACAATCAGTCCCTGGCAGGGACAGTTATTCATGGCTGGAAGGGATGAAGAGGCTTCAGGGAACAGCCTGGGGCCACTGAGGTTGGCAGATGGGAATGCTCACATCCTGTCAGATGCACACATGGGTGCTTGCACAAAGTCTAGCTGGCACTAGACTGTGAGGGCTGTGTCAAACGCCAGCCTGTAGAGCTGAGCTCCATCTTCAAAGGAGAACAATCATGAAGTGATCAAGTCCATCTTTACTGTGTGGACTGTTTCAGCAGGGCTAAAAACATGACTTCTCCAAGACATGTGGCGGACACAAGGTAGCAAGAATGCTGCGCCCCCAATACCTACTCCTTTACAACAGTGAGGAAGAAAAAGGAGGGAGGAGAACAGGAGACCAGAGGAGTCAGGCAGAAAAGAGGCAAGAAGAGGCTGGGAGGGTGGCTCAATGGTAAAGTGCTTGCTTTGCATGCATGAGGCCCTCGGTTCCATTCCTCAGCACCACATAAGCAGAAAAAAACAGCAGTGGGACTGAGGCTCAAGTGGTAGAGTGCTAGCCTTGAGCTGAAGAGCTGAGGGACAGTGCCCAGGCCCAGAGTTCAGGCCCCACGACCGGACTCCCCCCCCCCGCCAAAAAAAAAATATAGTCATGCTAATAAAATGTTCACTAATTCAGAAGAGAAGGAAGAGCAAGTCATCCCCGGATTCTGTGCTCAGGTTGGGCTCATGATCTCATGGGTCTGCCATGGGGGTGGCTAACTACATCCTTTCTCCTCACCCTTCCAGCCTCTGATGGGGGAGGAAGTACACGGCACTTTGGCAACTCAAGCTGCCAACCTCTCTAAGGCCACTCCCTGGCCCTACCCTTCGCATATCCTGGGGAAGAGAATGACCTGTAAACGGTGCCTAACAAAATGCCTGTGTGTGCTGGGTTTCCACCTGCTTAGTTCACACTGGTGAGCTGCTGTGTGATTGGACTACTCAATCACTGAATAATAGGTTGTTTCGTTATCTGATTTTTTGTGCTGCTTAGGATCAAATTCAGGGACTTACACATGCTAGGCAAGTGCTACTGAACTCATGTACCATTGAGCTACAGACATCTCAGCTCCTTGTTTTTTAATATGATGTCTTGTTTGTAGCCCAGGTTGGCCTTGAACTCAAATACCACCTGCCTCAGCCTTCCAAGTACTGAGATTACAAGCATGCCATACAATGCCCAATTTAGAAATTCTTTTGAAGTCTTATATAAATCGTTCAGTATCTGGTGATAGTGAAACTTTCAGTTGGCTCTGTTGATAGGATTTTGGGGGTGGGTAGGCAGGTTGGCAGGAATTAGTCTGTATTCACTGGCTTTAGGAGAAAATGGAGCTGGGATCCTGGGCTCAGTGGTTGTCTTGTTTAGGGAGTCAGTCTTCCCTTACCCCAGTTGAGTCTTGATTTTTCTTCTGAGTAGAAAATGAATACAACAGTCCCTTAGTTTGTTCACTCAAGATGGGCACTCTACCACTCTACCATAGCTTCAGTCCAGCTTTGGTGGTTAATTGGGGGTAAGAGTCTTATGGACTTTTCAGCCTGGGCTGGCTTTGAGCCTTAAATCTTAGCTTGCTGAGTAGTTAAGATTACAGGCATAAGCCATTGACACCTAGCAAAGTTATCACTTTTTAAAAATGTAAAAGCCCTTCCTGAAGTCCCCAGCAGAACAAAGAAGAATTTATGACTTCATATTCTATAATACCTTAGAGAACAGGGCTGGGAAAGTGGCTCAGTGGGAAAGTGGCATGCATGAGGCCCTGGGTTTGATTCCTCAGCACCACATAAACACAAAAAGCCAGAAGTGGTGTTATGTTTCCCTTGATTACCAATGAAGTTCTAGAAACAGAGCAAACAGCTGCATTCACCTACAATCAAATACCAAGTGTCACTTACTTGTCAATGAGTCCCTTTTGTTTGAGGATGCGGTACACTTCAGCTGATGTCTGGGGTCCTTGGAGCTTTTGCCCATTCAACATCTCCTTTTCTAGTTCTTCGATGGTCTTAAAAGAAAAACATGAAAATAAAAACCTGTAGTAAAAACTAAAAAAAAAAAAGAGAAAGAAACACTTATTTCAAGAGAAGGAGGGGCTGGGAATGTGGCTTAGTGGTAGAGTACTTGCCTAGCATGCATGAATCCCTGGGTTCCATTCCTCAGTACCACATAAACAGAAAAAGCCAAAAGTGGAGCTGTGGCTCAAATGGTAGAGTGCTAGCCTTGAGCCAAAGGAAGCTCAGGGACACTGCCCAGGCTCTGAGTTCAAGCCCCAGGACTGGCAGAAAGGAAAAAAAAAAAAAAGAAAAAGGAAAAGAGAAGGAGAGGGTCAGGCACCAGTGGCTCATGCCTGTCAACCCCAGTGTGAAAGCAAAGCACTGTGGTTTGATGCCAGCCAGGCAGGAAAATCTGTTAGACTCATCTCCATTTACCCACCTGAAGCCAAAAGTGAGCTGTAGATCAAGGGGGTAGAGTGCCAAACTTGAGTGTAAAAATTGAGGGGCAGTGGCCAGGCCCTAATTTCAACCCCCAGTAGCAGCACATACACAAAGGAAAAAAAAAAAAAAGAGTAAGAGCTAAATGCTCTTACTGGGGCAGGCAAGAGCAAGCAGGCAGGGCAAACAGAACAAAGAGCCCAAGTTGGGTTAACAGTGCACATGTGGCTCACCCAGCCCCAGGAGTCTCAGGTGGAAGAGGAGGAAGAAGAGGGCAGCGGAGCGGGGCAGGAGGAAGAGGGGCAGGCCAGTGCTACCTTCCCAGTCCTGGCAAAGGCCTCGGCCACCCTGCGGTTTCGTCCTCCATAGCAGGTGGTGATCAGGTCAGCCACCCCACAGCTCTCCAGGAAGGTGCCGGTGGACACCTGGCCCTTGCAGAAGATCCTGGCAAAAGCGATCATTTCCATGAGGCCCAGGCGGATGACGGCAGCCTTGGTGTTGTCTCCGCATTGGAGGCCATCGCAGAACCCAGCTCCCACAGCCACGATATTCTGCAGGAATGACAAAGCCAGGATGGATGCACATAGGCCCTCAATAGCTGCAGCGGTGGGAGAGCCTAGCCAGACAACGACAGATGCTAAGAGCAGTCTTGTTGAATCCTCACTTATGCCTTTTGGATTGTTACTTAAAGTAAAGCTGAATGCTTTCTTCAGCTGTTAGAAACTCTGTAAAGCCCAAGGGGACACTGATGAATTTCTTTTTTTTTTTATTTTCAATCTATCTGTCTCTATCTATCTATCTATCATTGTAAAGATACTGTGGAGGGATTACGTGAGCAAGGTAATGAGTCCATTTCCTATTGAGTATTGTTACACACTCCTTTATTTTCCCCCTACCATCCCTTTCCTCCCCTTCTCCCCCTCCAAAGTTGTAAAGTTCGTTTTCAACATAGTGTCTTGTACATCTCATTGTTACAATGGGTAATCCTGTATCCTTATTTCAGCATTTTGTTATTTCCCTTCTCCTCCCTAAATTAGAAAAAGGTATATACAAGATGCAGGCACCAAATCAAATATAGTGACAACAGGGGTTATACCATGGAGGAAGAACATACAAAGAAACAAAAAAAAATTACATAGTACATTCTAAGTACTTTAAAAAGAACAGCAACAAAGATAAAACCTCTTGTGTACACTGATGTATTTCTACAAGCTGACTGCAACCACAGAGCAAGATCCAAAAAGAACACAACGAGTACCTCAGAAAGACCCCAGCCCCTTTCAGTCCCTCCCTTCCAAAGGTGACCCCCTGCTCCTATCACACATGGACTCATGTGACCCAACTAAGCATTATGTGAGTGGAGGCCAATAGCATGTGATCTTCCTTACTAGCTTCCTTGTCTCCTTGATGTCATGTTTGTGAGATGCACATTTTCCATAGAGTACGTGTATTTAATTGTCATGCACTATTCCATTGTGTGACCACACTAATATACTTATCCATTCTTTTGTCCCTTAGCCTTGGTAGATTTCATTACAAGCAGTGCTACTATGGGCCTGGCACGTGTCCTCTGGTGGACATGTAGGCAAATCTCAGTCTTCATGTCATGGCCTCTCCTACACACAAGACAAATTGCACACACAGCCAAGGTGACAGTCATGCAGGACTTCTCGACCTGTTTTCAGGCTATCCAGCCACACTCAATTGGTGACACACTGCTTCTGTCTGCCCACTGCAGATGCCATCAGCTGCCAGAGTCCAGGTGACCCACAAAGCCTAAAACACGTTCTACCTGGCTTACAGAAAATGCTAACTGGTTGACTTAGCAGGAAAAATAAAACCCAAACATGTATACATAACTAACATTCATAAAGCAATACCCTGAAACTTCATTTCAACATTTGTGCACTGGCAGGCCATGTAAAGATGGACAGACCTTACTAAGCCATGACAGGCACTATCGATGCCTATTAGGAAGGGGACCATGCGGATATATAATGAGACTTAATTTGTCCTCAGGATGCTCACAATTTGAGAAAAGAGATGCAACAATACACAGAAAGAATGGCAGGCACCAGTGGATCACACTTCCCTAGCTACTAAGAAGGTTGAGATCTGAGGATTAGGGTATGAAGCCAGCCTGGATAGGGAAGTCTTCTAGACTTTTTTTTTGGGGGGGGGGGTCTGGTCATGGGGCCTAAACTCTGGGCCTGGGCACTGTCCCTCAGATCTTCAGCTCAAGGCTAGTGCTCTATCACTTTAGCCACAACACCACTTCGGTTTTTTTCTTTTTGCTTATGTGGTGCTGGGGAATCAAACCCCAGGGCCTCATGCATGCAAGGCAAGCACTATACCACTGAGCCACCTTCCCAGCCCTTCTACACTCTTTTTTTTTTTTTGTCAGTCGTGGGGTTTGAACTCTGGGCCTGGGCGCTGTCCCTCAGCTCTTCAGCTCCAGGCGAGCGCTCTACCACTTGAGCTACAGCGCCACTTCCGGTTTTCTGGTGGTTTATTGGAGATAGGAGTTTCACAGTCTCTCCTGCCCGGGCTGGCTTTGAACCGAGATCCTCAGATCTCAGCCTCCTGAGTAGGTAGGATTACAGGCGTGAGCCACCAGCACCCGGCCACCTTCTACACTCTTATCTCCAATTAATTAGCAAAAAGTTGTAGGTGGAACTGTTGCTTAAGTAGAACATCACCCTTGAGAAAACATGTTAAGCAAGAGTGAAAAGGGAAAAAAAACTTAAAAGAATTTACGGAACCAACTTCTAGCCTCATTAGCAGCACAAAACAGTAAGTAAAGGAAAAAGGCAGAGAGAAGAAGAGAGGAGGCTAATTTAATTAGAGTATAATAACTGAAATGCCATGGTGAAACTCTTTGGTACAATTAAAATAAATAAGAATGGCAGGCTCTGTAGAGGGATGGGCAGGAAATAGCAACAGGAGTAAAGGGAGAATTAAGAAGGTAAATGAGGGTGAATAAGATTGAAATTTTTTATGAATACATGAAAACAGAACAATGAACATACTGAAATTGTTTTAAGAGTGAAGACCGGAATGTGATTGAGCCGGTAAGGTTAATGGGATGCGTTGTATGCATGTCTGCAAATTTCACAAAACCATTCTTGCAAAATCAATGTATGCTAATAAAGTCTTAGTAAGGAAAAAGGAACACAGACAGAAAAAAGAGGGGGTTGAAAAAGGGACAGGGACCAGAGCTTCATTTCAAGCAAGAAGGCTGAGGCTTGGGATAAAGGTCAGTAGTGGAACATGTGCTAGGCCCTGGGCTCCATCCCAAGTGCTGCAAGGAAAAAAGAAAACCTGTCAAGGCAAGGAAGGCAACACGGAGGAAGTGATATCTGAGCTGGGCCTCAATCCTATGGACAGGTCCGATGATCACAGGACAGCAGTGCAGAACTGGCAGGTATTTAGCTCTCCAGTGGAAAGGCTGGCTCCTGACCCTTGAACTCTCAGCTACTTCATCAGGGACAACGCATGCCAGAAAGATGTAAGTATTCTGTGTCTAACCACAGCAGTGTTTTCTATACTTCCTGCTAATGATACAACAGTTAGTGCCTGAGCACCCCACCCCAAGGCACCCCTACATGCAGCTTTGATACTCACACTGAGCATGAGGTGGGCTAGGTTCACCATGAGGAACAGCCAGCCTTGGGGAGACTGAGTCACAGAGCTCTACCCAATGAAGCACATTATATAAGCTCTCTTGAAGCTTTTGCCTACTTTCCCATCCCCACCAAGAGAACACAGGGCTTTTGTTCACTTCTGGAGGTAGAGGGTGGGGGGAATCAGAAGTGGGAGGGGGGCTAGAGAACCAAGGATGGGAATGGAAGGCTCTGAATATGCTGTCTCTCTCTCCTCAGTGACAAACCAGCACTCATGGAGGTTGTTGGCTACTCTTCTCCTTGTCAAGGCAGAAAGAAAAAGTCAAAGCCATATGTTGGTGGCTCCAACCTGTAATCTTAGCTACACAGGAGGCTGAGATATGAGGATCATGGTTTGAAACCAACCCAGGACAGAAAGTCTGATCTAGTTAACTAGCAAAAACCTGGTGGTGGTGTGGTTCAAGTAGTAGCGCATCAGCCTTGAGGCAGAAAGCTAAGGGAGAGAGTGCAGGCACAGAGTTCAAGCCCTAGTACTCACTCACATAGCGGGGGAAGCTCCCAGAGAAAACAATAACAGCTAACTTTATTGAACACTCCTGGTGCTCATATATTATTAATCTTCACCCCGTTCTTACAAAGCAGGTCCTGAGGAAACTGAGGTAAGCAGCTTGCCAGGGTGACATACCACCCCAGGCCAGTAACTGGAAGGAAGGCACACAGCTAAGAACTCTCAAACAGGAAGAGCTGACCACACATCACAACAGAGGCGGCAGGAACTCGGTCACTGGAACTGGCCAAGCAGGACTTTATGCACACACTGAGTGTAAACCAGGAAAGTCAGGTGCTTTCGTGTCACTTGGCTCAGACAAAAGGCAGGCAAGGAAGCAGGCAGGCACACAAGGCTGCCAGGGGCCTCTTGGTTCCCCACGATCTTCTACTGCAGGGCCCAGGGATCTAGACTGCCTAAGAGCTTCCAGAAGACACCTAACCTCATCCCCAGAAGGAAACAAGGCTGGCATCCACTCAGTCAACCCACTTCCAACACACTCTGGGCCCTGCTCAGCTGAATTGTCTTCTGATAGATGGAGAAATCTCTCCCCACTACCTATCACTGTCAAAAGAAGAACACCCTGAGCCAGTCAGAGCATGTGATATTTGCATTCAAGCAGATGCCCGCTGAGATGGCTCAGCTGTGAGAGTTATCATTTTGTGCACTTAAATCTGCCCTGAAATATCTGCAGCTAAAAATACCAGGATCTTCAGAAGGCAGATGTGCTTAAGCCCTTCCCCATTTCCTGGCCCTATGCAGAGGAATCAGCCAGCCCAAAGCACCATCTTTGCAATTCTGTATCAGGGTAGGTTGGATGGGCTCAATTCCTCTGTCACTGCCTGCCCACACAAAAAAGAATGGAAAACCAGAGAAGTCAATTTTATCACCTGCAGGTTACACAAACATTACGTAGGAAGAATCACCCTCAGGAATCCTGGGCCCCTGCCTTCTCTCCTCTGGAAGTTCAACCACCCATCTGCCTCTTCCTGGGCCCAGTATCCCATGCACTTGACCTCTGAGGGCAATGTCTGCAGAGCAGGCTTACTAAAGGCAAAGTGCCATGTACGGTTGCAAGTTGAGCTCTGGCAACTAGGTGTCAAGGATGCCATGTCAGGCCCCCACTTTGGCCACGAGACTGAGCACCCTGATACAAAGCTGCCTTAGCTACCACAGCCCATCCCCTAAAGCCATTTCTACCTTAATATGATGTTTGCTATCTGTTCTATCTCAAAGTCTAACCACGAAGTCATACCAAGCCTTTGCCAGTGGCTACTGTAACTACAAAAACTGATTTTTAAAAATTTGAAATAGGGTCTCAATACATAGTCCAGGCAAGCCTTCAACTTGTAATCCTCCTGCCTCAACCTCCCACATATTG